GGCGGGAGCCGTAGGGCTTCCCCGTTTAGGCAGAGGGCTGAGGGATAGCCCCTTCTCTCTCCCCCACTTTTTTGCTTTCTCACAGCACTTTGGAACAGGCACTTCATCCTAAAGCGGGCGGCAGGGTTCTTCTCTTCCTCCCTGGAAGAAGCTCAAAGGAAAGATTTGTTCCTCCCCTTTCTCCCCCCACCCTTTGGACTCTGCGGGTCCTTAGCATCGAGCACTGGTGGGGAGAAAAGCACCTTAAAAGCAGAGCTGGTCGGAGCGGCTCCCGTTTGGGATTACTGGAAGCCCCTTGGTCCAGGGCTGACACCCCTTCTCCTTCCTTTTTTCTCCTTCAAATCCCTCCGGGCCCTTTCGGTTGTGCCCGTGGGGCCGCTCTCTGGCTGTCGGCTCTGTCTCCCAAACGCCACGCGCCGGGTTTATGGCAGCTCTCGAGGTTATTGATGCGTGTTTCTTGTCTCTGGCCTGTTTTATAATTTAGACAGTCAACGGGCAGGAGCCCTTCTTTCCTGTAATCTCTTTAAAGTGCTCTGCAGAGCGATAAAGACGTTCAAGGGCCTTTTCTGATGCCAGAGGCGCCCAGCCGCTCTGCTCCACTTTTAAATGGATGTTTAGCGACTCCAAAGCTATTGGGAACCATTCCCGGCTAATCCCTGCGGTGAATTTTTACACCCCGCCGTTGGGTGGGTTGGTGCTTCCCCTCTCTTCGTGTCTGAGGGAGCGCTGACCTTATGCCGTGCAGCTTGAGTTCCTGGCCTTGCTTTAAGTTTATTTTCTTGTGATTTAAAAAAAAAAGAAAAAAAGTCTGAGCTCTCTAAATGCTGATTTCTGCCAGGAGCCGAATACACTGAAGCCGAGTTTCTCTGGTGCAGCGCTGAAAAGACGCCTCGAAAATTTGGAGTTTGGGTTTAGCTAATCCTTTTATTTTATTTATTTTTTTAAAAATTTTGTTTCAGAAGTTGCACAAACGAGCTGAAGGTGGCGATGATTGTGACGAGGTTTTCGAGAGGCGCTGCTGCAAAGCTTCAGGTTTCGGAGCAGAGTGTGGCGGCTGCGTGTGCAGCTGCCCAGCCCGCGGCGGACCCGTGGTCCTGCCCTTTCTGCGGACGGTTGATTTATCTCTCGCAGTAGTAACCAGAGCGGGCTTTTATCTCCCTTTGCCCTGCCGTAGCCGCATCAGGAGGGCTGGAAAAGATCTTGACCGCAGCCCGCTGTCGCTGTGGAGCTCAGCTCTTGGCAGATTCTCAATCCAGATCCACGTTGCTGTGATTCTTTGGCTGGTTCAAACTGAAAATGAATAAATTGTATAGTTCTTTTTGTGGTTTGTTGTTGTTTTTTTTTTTTAATTTTAATATCTCAAGTTGTGCTAAGCTCTGGTTTTCTTTCTCAGTCAGATTCAGAGGAAGATGAACCAGCAAAGAAGAAAAATACCGTTCAGGTAAATCCCTTGGTTATTTAATTAATCAAATTTCACAGGAATGAAGCATTTGACTGTGATCTTGGGTTTGCACTGGTGTAAATCAGCTGCACTGCTAGTGTCAGAAATTCCTGAAGTCCCCTGGGGTGTCAGGTCTCTTTTTTGGGGAAACTTCCTGAATTTAAAGCTCAGAAACACAAGCGTGATTCTGGGAGGTTGGCAGATCTTTGCCCCATTTCCCTTAAGAATCCCGCTGGCCTTTTGCGCCAGAAAGCCCCACTGGGCGTTCGAAGGAGCGAACAATTGTGCTGAGCAATGGGAAACCCATTAACGGTGTTAGAATTGGAGGAGATCGTTGGCGGGGAGTCAGGAAAATAAAACCATCTCACTCATTTCTCTTCTTTCTGTGACCGAAACGCACCAGGCACGCGGCGAGGGCTCTGGCTTGTCTGCTCTGCTTCCTCAACCCAAAAACTTGACGGTCAAAGAGACCAACCGGTTACTTTTGCCCCACGCTTTCTCAAGGAAAGCAGGAGAAAACGCCTCCGACTCCAAGCCCGCTAAGCCCCCGAGCTCTTCCTCCAAACCCAAACCTCTCTCCAAGCCGGCGGTGCCCACGACTCCTTCTCCATCCGCCATCAAAGCCGCTGCCAAGAGCGCTGCCCTGCAGGTCACCAAGCAGATCACGCAGGAGGAGGACGACAGCGACGAAGACGTCGAGCCAGAGAACTACTTCTCCTTGTCCGACAGGAGCGAGCCCGCCCTCGTGGGCGCCGAGACCTACCCCTACGCGGCCACGGTGGTGGCGGAGGACCCGCCGCCCGGCACGGAGCCGGAGCCCTGCGGCTAACGCCCCTCTGGAATTCAAGACGGGCGCTGGTTCCAGCGGTGCTCAGCACAGCTGGGCACCCAAACCCGTAGAAGACTACAAAATCCATTGTCCCTCATCCTGTTGCTACATGTCCTTGTAAAAAAATCCCTCCCCATCTCTCCTGTAGCCCCCTTCAGGTACTGGAAGGCTGCGATGAGGTCCCCTTGGAGCCTTCTCTTCTCCAGGCTGAACAACCCCACCTCTCTCAGCCTGTCCTCACAGGGGAAAGTGTTCCAGACCTCTGATCATCTGCATGGCCTCCTCTGGACCTTCTTCAACAGCTTGACGTCCTTCTTGCATTGGGGGCCCCAGACCTGCATGCAGTATTCCAGGTGGGGCCTCAATACTCCAGGTGGGGCCTCAACTTAAAGGTGATTTGGATTTGATTTTTATTTCCACATCACCAAAGCTTTCTTCCTGGTAGAATTTATGTATTTCCATGTTCTTGATCTCAAGATACAGGTTGCCCAGAGAAGCTGTGGATGCCCCATCCCTGGAGGGGGTCAAGGCCAGGCTGGATGGGGCTTTGGGCCACCTGGGCTAGTGGGAGGTGGCCCTGCCTGTGGGACTCGATGATCTTTAAGGTCTCTCCCACCCCAAACCCTTCTGGGATCTATAAATGAGTTCCTGGAGCAGGCTGTGGTCTGTGGGCATCCAACCCATCCGAGGTGTCTGGGACACGGAGCAGAGCCCCGCAGCACTTAGCGCAGCTGGATTCTTCTGGCACGAGGGCCACAGAGGCTTTTTGCTGGATAAATGTTTAATGCCTGCGCTTATTTTCAAATCCCCCTGCAGAGCTGCCCCGTCAGGGCGCAGAATCAGGGCTCACCAGAGCCGGTGGCTGAGGCCAGGTTGTTTCGAGTAATTCAGCAAAATATTTGTTGAGTGCCACTGAAAAAAGAGGTGCAGAGGTACCCAGAGCCCCGTGTTCCTCATCTGGCACGGGATCAACGGCCGCGTGGGTCGGCCCTGGGAGGAGGAAGGTGTGGAAGGTCCCAGCGGCCGGGTGGGATCTCTGGAGGTGGGACAGCAGCGAGCTTCCAGCGCTCCTCCGTCTCGCAGCCTCTCTGTGTGGTTGCTCCAGGGTGGGTTTGGCTTCGCTCTCATGACAAACCGCTTTTCCTTTTGCTGCCAGGATTACTACAGCGGGGGGTACTACCAGGAGGCGGAACCGGCCCAGGCACCGCCGCAGGAGATCAGCACCGACTCCTCCTTCATCGATGACGAAGCGGTTGGTGCTTTACTGTCTCTTCTGCTCTGGAGTTTGCCTTTAAGCTCTGCTAGAAATAAAAACCAAACCTGTTTTAAAAAAAAAACCAAAAAAACAAACAAAAAAAACCCCAAGCTCTCTCCTGTTCTCTGATTTAGAAGGTCCCCGTTCACCAAGCCGGTCGGTGCTGCAGGGGACAGGAGCCCCTCTGGTGCTCGCTCCCTTCGAGGGGCTGCTGCCTCGGAGGTGGATTTGTGTGACGGGAGGTGTGGGCAGGGAGGCTTCAGGCGCTTCCCTCGCTCTTCAAGCGAGACCCAGGGTCCGAGGGTCTTCTGAGCGAGACCAAAAGTGAAAATAAATGTTGGATTTTTTCCCCTTCCACATAGGAAAATGAGATTATAACCTCCAGACCTATATCCTGGTCTATAGCAAAGCAGAAATCTAAAGAAAAAAATTCCTGGCTGGGAAGATGTTAGTTGGTGTGTCCGTGGTTGGGGAGCGAAGGGTCGGAGCCCATCTGCCTCCCTTGGGTGAGGTTGGCGTCGGTGCGCGACGTGCCGGCGTAACTCCCATTGTTTCTGTTCCTTCAGTTCAAGCGGCTGCAAGGCAAGCGGAACCGAGGGAGGGAAGAAATCAACTTTGTGGATATCAAAGGTGACGATCAGCTGAGCGGAGCCCAGCAGTGGCTGACCAAATCCTTAACGGAGGAGAAGACCATGAAATCCTTCAGCAAGGTACGGGGGGTTTTGGGGACCTGCTCCGTCCCCTTCCAGCCCCAGCTGGAGCTGGGTTAGGTGCCAGGCGGTCACCAGGGTGGGGACAGGGACCTTGTCTTGTGTGAACAAAGGTGGTAAAGACCAGCCAGGGACTGCTTCGGTCTAAGGAACCTGCCCGCAGCTGTTTAACGGGAAACAAACGCTTCTTAGAAATGCTTTTGTGCGAGCTCTTGTCGTCCCGCTCTCTGGGTCAGTGTGTTTCCAGGCTTAACAGTTCGTCTCTTTCTGCTTTCCAGAAAAAAGGAGATCAGCCCACGGGGCAGCAAAGGCGAAAACACCAGATCACGTACCTGATCCACCAGGTGAGTGCCCTCCTCCTCGCACAGAAACCGATGCGGGCAGACCGCCGGGGCGTGACGCTCGCCCGCGGGGGACGAGGGGCTGACCCTGACGGAGCCCAGCGTGA